AAATACACTCCAGACACGCCGCTGGCACTAGAGGCACAGCATGGCCGCCTAGTAACGGCCCCGACCACTGCCGCTCGACCTGACCGGAAAAAACCGTAGCAGTATATATATAGTCAAACAGAGCTGCCCAGTAAACCGTAGGCATAGAGGGAGAAGAGGACAACAAAGGAGGGGCTGTGACAAACTGTTTCGTCGGAGTTTATCACCGACTCGTCATATAAAAAAAAAAAAAAAAGATATATCGTCAAACATATATAGGGTTTCTCACAAGACTATAGCACGTGTACCACGAAGAAAATAGTCTTCTCCCTCCCTCCCATCCCTCCCATCCCTCCCATCCAGGTCCATCTTAGGGCATTCTCACCACTAGCACGTCTTTCATTTTGAATCTGGGCACGATTACGCTCACATGCATCCAGGAACGTATTAGTGTGCAGATGCTTTTAAGGAGTAAAGCATGAGATCAGTTTTCGCCTCCTTACTGCCATTGTCAATATACACCATTCTTTTATTTTGAATCTGGCCGCGATTACACTCACATGCATCCAGGAACATATTAGTGTGAGGATCCCAAAAGAAGCATGCAGGTGCCTCCACAACCCCCCTCACACAGCAGTACACTAACCTGCCCTTAAACCAGCGGTGCCGCTGGAGGAACCCCAGCAGCATAAAAAAAGGAGTCAGACAAGTCAACAAAATCAGACAGGTCACAAAAATCAGACAGATTAAAAAAATCAGACAGATCAACAAAATGCAACTGGTACATACACATCTTACTGAGCAATGATAAAAATGGAGACCTAAAAAAAAAAAAACAAGAAAGAAAAGTTCAGAAACAGAGGCCAAAAATCGAAAACTTCCCGGAAGTTGCAGGCAACCCTGAAAATGAAATGCATACGTACTCGTAGTCGCGAACATGGGCAGCAGGTATGAAAGTCAAAGTGCCATTTCGATAGCGATTTTACGTCGGAGGATCATCATCGAGGCGAACGTTGCATGGCTCTCGGCAACACAAACAGACATTTCGATCTAGGCCTTCTTTGTCGTGATGGATAAGCTGCAGCACCTCCACAAGCTTCTCCTTGAACTCGCTGTGTCCCTGCACAATGCCCGAGACGTCGACGTTGACAATGTTCTCCGCGGAGCTTTGTATGGGCCCGAGCCCGGCGGGCTCTCGCTCTTGCTCTTTCCCAAGCAAAGTCGCCGGCAAGTATGCTGCTCGCAGAATCATATCGTTTACAGAGTAGCAGTTGTATATACGACCGGACACAGCAGAAGCTGCAGCTTCCCAGCCCTGCGCATTTGTACGCCCCACAGCCGCACCGAGCAAATACGCCTGGCGCACAATAGGCTGTCTTGTTCCAGGTGGGCAGGACCCCAGTGTGCGAAGGGCCCAGTAGATGACGTCAGCACCGAGCGAATGGCCCATCAACACAAATCCTCGGCTGTGCTTGGCGCGGGTACGTACAAGCATATCCGCGAGGAGAATGCCCGCAATTGAAGCGCGGTCTTTGGTGGCATGGAATTCCCTCAACGCCCAGAGAGGGAGTGCTGTCGCCGCAAGTGGAAGTGCAGTCATAGCAGATGCTGCAAGCGAGATAGCACCGATGGCCAAGCGGGTCGACGGTCCATCGGCTGGATCCAGATTTGCCAACGCTTGCCCGGCCCGCGCGATCAGCGCATCTTGCGGACTTGATCCATATCGACTTCGATTACCCCCCTGATTGCCGGCCACTAGATCTGAGCCTGATCTTAAGGCCATCGTCGCCCTCTCAACAATCGCTGCCGACCTCGCTGTGCCCGTGTGGGAAGGCACATGCTCTGCCACTCTTGTTTCTTCTTCCAACGCAAAGTTCTCGCTCTTCCACGCATAGAGGAACTGCGCGCTGTGTTCATAAAACTCGGCAACACGGACACCCCAGTCCAGAGCCGCGGAAGCACGATTATTCGATGACATAAACCCATTGATGAATATCACATCCGGCGCATTCCTTACACCTGCAAACAACTCAAAAACATCAGCATTTTGGAGCTTCGACCAGAGCGCATAGGAGAGCTTGCCGCCGAGTGGCGAGCCAAGAGCGCTGCTCACCTTTTGCATGAGGGATGCCTCCTCCTGTGCGTTCTTTGGCAACGGCTCCTCCAGGCAGTTGCAAACGGGGCCTAGCTTCTCTTGGGCAATATCTGCAACCAATTTCACGCTAGAGGCAACAACGTTCATTACCATATCTAGAGCGGTGGCTGCAAAGACCTGCGGCAGTGACGGTGACGGTGTCGGCGTCAGGCTCCCAGGATTATTATAGCTCCTCACTGTGCTCACCTCGTTACGGTCATTGCAATGCATGTTCACAAGCATACTGTCGTTATTGCGAGAAGATGATCCCATTTCCCTCGGTGATGCGCTGTTAAACATGTCATTTGTCGCATCGGGGCGTGGATCAGACGGTCGATTTGCCAGTGCTGGTAGACCAGGTTCCGTGCCTGGATCACGAGAAGACTGTCCCTGATCGGTGAAACCTGATCTCTCTTCGGAATTGAACAGGTGTAAGAATTTGTGGATGCTGTCGATTTCACCACCCAGAGATGCAAACGAAGGTATCTTCCCACTATGCACTGCACAGTATCTGTCGTCAACGGCGGCATACCCACTTCCCTCGCCAGACGTGTACCCGACAGAATACCTATTCCAGACTCGGGGACTCCTGGCAGCTCGTGCCATGTTCAAACACGGGCTTCCACCGTTTTCAAGGTGCACGTGGCAAGGTACCGTCGTACGGTGGCAGTTGCTGCACACATGGTGGTTTGTCCTCCTCCTGGAAAACTTGTCATGCCGTGTCCGATGCAAGCACCAAGAACACCAAGCCAGTCCGTCATCGGAACAGCAGCTGCTCCCCTGATTTGTCTCCCCGGTCGTGTTCATCAAAGGGTCCCCCATAATTAAGCAGAGCAAGCTATTGACGTGGAGCTAGCTATTGCCAAAAAGCTTTTGACTTCACGCGTCCGGATGCAACCTCCAAGTATGCAATACCACTTCAGGCATGATTCCCCGACCACTCCTCAGACCTTCGCGCACACATAACAACAACAAGGGTCCCCGACGTGCTTGCATGCTCTACGATCCAATCTTTCTAGATGCTTCTTAGTCCCCAATACATACGGCAAACAGAGTGGATGAGCATCCCTAGTTTGCTGGCTGGGAGCCCTAGTTTCAGTTCATTGCCTCGGTCCCATGTCGATTGTGAACACCGAAATCAAAATCCGAGGGGCCCAAAGGCACGGCACAAAGTCAAACCTAAAGCTGCAAATGCAACTGCTGCTTCCGACAACTGCTGGCAACAGTTTTGCACACAGTGCCCTGCCCCAGATATGGGCTTGATGTCATGCTGGGAGATTGACGGATCCAGGCACACGCCGGGCATGCCATTTGCATGCTTGTAATGTCAATCTAAAATCCATGGCACCACGAAGACTTCAGCGGCATAGCTGGGCAACACTTGCATCTGACAACCTGCACAACCGAACGGAACATGTTTAAGGATGACATCCACTCTACCTCTTTTTATTGCATTTAAATTAAATTAAAGACTTCCACATAACAACCAAATCGCTCCCTAAGTATGGAAGGCCGAAGGCGCAAGAGCGCTCTTTGGTTTGATTGAGAGAATTCTCGCGTAAAGTCTCTGAGGATCCCAAACAGCTCGGCGGTCGGTGGCTATAGAAAAGAGAAACCAGGTCCTTAGGGTCCTGCCTCCATATCCATTCTGGGGACCATCGGTCCCCGACGGTCCGGATCCTATTCCACCGGCAGATCATACATACAACAAGAACACTCTCACGCTTCCTTCCATTTGGCCAACGGATCGACATCCAGCCTACCTAACTCCCACCGTAGACTGACCCGGTCTGCAGGTTAACAACAACAACAACAACAACAACAACAACAACAACAACAACAACAACAACAACAACAACGACGACGACGACGACAACGACAGGGAGCAAAAACAGAAAAATGTTACGATCCTGGCCAATTTCGAAGTATACAAACATCAGAAAGAACAATGCCGTCCAATTGCAAAAAGAAATGAATGAACTTGAGAGGAGAGAGAGGGAAAGAAGAAGAAGAAGAAGTAAGAAAGAAGAAGACGAAGATGATGTACTCCAGCATAGACCAATGACAAGGCTCTTCTCCCTCGCCAACCAATCTTCTCCTCCCTATCTCCTCCCCTCTTATTCAAACAAGAAATAACAATAATAATGTTGAATGGCTGAACCAGAATCAATGTCCGAATCCCAGTTCTACCGCAGGCACAACATGAGGTCCACCATAGTCATGGCCACCCTTCCTCTTCCTCTACATACAGGCCAAGGCTATGGCGGAGTACTGAGGGCTCYCCCTCCTGTCCAAAGGACAACCCAAAGCAGCTATGTCGCTGCCCTTCTGYCCCCAGGTCAACTCCATGCAGCTATGCCGCTGCTCACTCAACCGCCATGCCTGACTCTGTCCCGAGCTTCCTTGATGCGGCACTACCCCCACTGGGGCCTTCCAGATGCAGCGCCTAAYAAGGTGATGAAGATGGTGTCTACCATAKCCAGGTAAGTACCCCAMCACTCTCCTCCTYGGTCCCCTTCTCCCTCCTCCTCCTACCGGTAGAGCTCCACCATAGCCAAGGTGGAAGCTCCCGGCTTCTTCCTCCCAGCAGCGCTGTAGTACCCACCGCCACTCCAGCCAGCGCTCCAGCAGCGTGTCGTCAAACTTGCACACTGAAGAATGAGGCCGAGCTCTTGCCTGGGCCTCTTGATATAGCGGCCTGCTTAACTCCTGGGCGGTGACTTCCAGGCCGCTCGGCCTCCCAAGCAACCGGTACCTCCTCCATTTCGGAGGGAAACATCATTGCAGACTGATATTGCCCGTACAGGCTCTAGACTCAGACTGGATGGACTGGTACCGGCCTAGACCTAGCCTACCGCTACTGGGCCTCTAAAAATGCCAACTTTGTCTTCTTCTGCTCGGCCTCGAGTACCCGGCACATCTACTGCTACTGGGTGCGGTACCGGCCTACCTGCTACTTGAGTGTTTTTTCGCTGCTCTAAGCACCGCGGGCCCCTGGCTCCGCTACTTGAGTGTTTTCCCTGCTGCAACCCTCGATGCCACGGCTGCAGGTAAGTACCGGCCCTACGGGCCTGCCAAACAAGCAAGTACCCTTGCGGGTCACACACACACTCATGCCGACAAGCACTCAGACAGGCACGCAAGTCCACAGGCACACACACATACAGACTTAGAAAACACAGCAGAATGCGGGAATCTCGGCAAGGCATCCATTCCATCGGCAGAACTTCAGAAATCAGCAGTGTTCTCAGTCTGTGTTATGGCGGGTCATTACACTACCCCCCCCTCAAGAGCGAGGTCCCTTCGAGCGACTAACTCAATCAGAGTCCTTGCATAATGCATCATAAGCGTAAATAGCAAAGAGAGATCGGGTATGTTCCGTAGGAGTGAGGGTGGCAGCGAATTTAGGCTGCTGTTCAGAACTAATCAATCGTTCATATGCGTTGACGACTCGCGGGGCACTCTACAGCAAGTCTTTCTTAGCGATCCAGTAAAAGTCATTCAACGGGTGGTACAGAAAATGGACTTTGTATTGTCTGTTTCTTCCCTTTCCACTGTGCTCGACAATTCTATCAACCTCGTGACCATCATTGATTGCGCAGGGAATCATTGATTCTCGATACCGAAAAGTTTCAGGTGGTTCATACGGAAACAACTTCGACGCATGAAAGACTGGGTACGTGCGCAGATGAGTAGGCACGTTGATCGTGTAAGAAGGACCAAAGGAATCATCTCCTACTCAATTCAGCACCTTCCACGAACCGTAGTACTGAGGAAGAAGCTTCCGTGATACACCTTCTTCAGAAAACTCAGACATCTTAGCCCAAACATAACTTCCCACTGTGAAAGGGTCAGGCTGGCGCTTCTTGTTTGCATGCTTAATCATGGCACTATGTCGCCTTTCCATAGCTGCGACGACAACTTTGAGCAAACGATCAAACTTAGCGATGTAACCTGGCTGGCCAGGTGTCAGGCCAGGTGGTTGCTCAGGAAACAGATAGGATAGAGGATTGCGAATTTTCCACCCCAGGTGCAGCCGGTTAGGTGTCATCCCGGTGGAGGAGTGTATAGAGTTGTTGTACAACCCCTGCACAATCGGCAACTCCTCATCCCAAGAGTTCTGATCAGGCATAATTAGAGCTCGAAGAAGTTGGATCACAGTCTGGTTGATCTCCTCGGCCAGCCCATTGGCTTAGGGATGTCAACCACATGTCATCTTAAGTTTGATGTCATAGATCTGGGAGGTGAAGTCCTTTCAATCTGCACTTATGAACCTAGTGTCCCGGTCACTCACGAGAGTTTTGGGGGGCCCACACTGCAGAATGTACTTCGTATGAAACTCTTTGATCACAAGGTCAGCTGGGGCGTGAGGTGGTAATGGAATCAGATTCAAAAATTTTGAAAAGCGGTCAACGATCACCATTACTTGCGAATATTCATTCCTACTCTTCTTCCCCATGTTCGTGAAGTCGATGGAAAGAGACTCACCCTGACCATCAGGAATAGGAAGAGGATGCAGCAGCCCATAGGGCTTTTGCCAAGACGGTTTGATGCGTTGACAGACTTCACACTCAGCCACAAACTTCCGTGTCATTCCTTTCATTCCAGGCCATACAAACTTTTGCAGCAGACTTCCGTATGTTTTCTCAAAATCGAAGTGTCCACTCCGGCCATGAGCCAAGTCCAAGAAGTGAGTAAGGATCGGCTCATGGTTGGGTACACACAGTCGGTCATGCTTCCCGTAATGTCGGAAAAGTAAGCCCTTACATTCATAGAAATCAGGCTGACTGCTAGGGTCAGCCCGAATCTGCTTAAGGATGGGACTAAGTTCCGGGTCCTTGGCAGTGTGCTCAATGAGTTCCCCCTTCAAATTCTTACGGAGATCATAGGAACCCATAAGGCAAGTCATGTACTCAGGATGGCGAGACAACGCATCCACAATGCGATTGTAAAAACCTTTCTTGTGCTGAAGTTCAAAATCATACACATCAATCTCATGCAGCCAGCGGGTCAATGTGGTTGATGGATTAATCTATGTCTAAATCAATTTCAATGTCTCGTGATCTGATAACACTTTGAGATGACGACCCAAGAGGTAGTGTTTCCAATGATCTAGTGCCTCTCTCAAGGCGTAGAGTTCTCTCATGTAAGTGGAGGCAGCTACCTTGTGACTGGGCATGTGTTTGCTGTAATATTCAAGCGAACATAAGTCATCGCGGTCATCTTGCTGCAGTACTGCATCAATCCCATACAAGCTTGCATCCGTAGTTACTACGAATGTAAGTTTGGGATCCGCAATGCGGAGCACCGGATGACTCACCAAAGCCTCCTTCAACGCTTGGAAGGCTATTGTGCATTCCCCATCCCATGTGTAAGACAAATTCTTACTTGTCAACTTGGACAGCGGGCGGGCGATAATAGAGAATTTGGGTACAAACTTACGGTAGTACGACGCAAGACCAAGAAAAGAACGCAACTCGCGGACATTGGTCGATTGAGGCCAGTTGCGGATGACCTCAACTTTGGTTGCCTCGGGCTCTAGGCCTGCAGTAGACAACCGATGTCCAAGGTAGATGACGTTGTCCCTCCCAAACTCAGATTTCTCCAAGTTGAGATGGAGTTGCGCATCTTTGAGGATCTGTAACACTTCCTCAAGGTGTCTCATGTGCTCCTCCATCGACTTGCTGAAGATTTGTATATCATCCAGATAAACAACAACAAATCGATTGATCTGATTGCGGAACACCTTGTCCATGAGACTTTGAAAGGTGGTCGGTGCATTCGTGAGACCGAAGGGCATGACGGTAAACTTGTACAGCCCGTCGCGAGTTTTGAATGCAGTTTTGTGCTGGTCTGCAGGGTCAACTTCAATCTGGTGGTAGCCCGACTTGAGATCGATCTTGCTGAAGACTTTGCACCCATCTGCAGCATCAAGCAGATCATCAATACGCGGCAAAGGATATGCATTATTTCTTGTTATTCTATTCAGTCCGCAGTAATCGATACACATCCGTAGTTTGCCTCCTTTCTTAGGGACATACAGAACCGGTGCACCGAATTTGGATCCACTCGGCTTGATCCATCCTTTCTCAATCATGTTATCAATTTGTCTTCGCAACTCTTCCAATTCGCCTGAGCCCATTCGATAGACACAGTCTTTTGGAGGAGTGCTACCTTCTATCAACTCGATCTTGTGTCGGACCGGACGCACGGGAACTCCATGCGGTTCGACCAAGACTTCAGGAAATCGGTTGAGAAGGTTGCGAATTTCTGATGGGATCTCCGGAGGTGGATCATCACATTCAGGTGCAAGCATCCCGGATTGCATCGGTGCAGCCAAAACAACAGGATTTGAAGCAGAGTCGTTTGGACTAGAAGTAGATTTAATAGAGGTA